ACACACACACACACACACACACACACACACACACACACACACACACACACACACACACACACAGTTCTGTAAATATAACCTCTTGATCTAAACATTTTAAACAAACCCAAAACTACTTGATGCTTGTTTTTTGTCTTACATTCACACAAATTGGTCATTTACTTCATCTAAACTCTGTTTTATCTTAATTGCATAATTTTTATACTTTTAAAAACTTTTCAAATTAACTTGTTAGTTTAATCCAGCGTTCTGTAAGTGTCTTTCTGTTTCCATCTGTTTATGTTTATTTCAGAGCTTTAATGTGTTTATTTGGTTTTCAAGCACTCATCAGGCTCTGCACTGCTGACTAACAGGAAAGTGTACTTTATGATACCTGTTGCTGATTACCCACATCAAGCACAGAAATTTACTTTTACTGTTGTTCACGAACGTGCACACGCTCAATAAAAAACACTTTCTATTCTGCCAGATGTGCACAAAATTTACAAGAAACTGTTGTACAACAACACACACATGTAATTAATAATAAATGCAGCTAATGAGCTGCTGATGATCCTCTGTTTTTTTTTTTTTTTTTTTTTTTTTTTTTTGTCAAACTGACCTGCTTGACGTGCGGAGAAGGCAAACACCATGATGTCGTCAAACGCCCAGCTGTAGTCTGGGTGAGGAGGGTAGAAGGTCAGGTCCCGGCTGGATTCACGCCGTAAGTCCACCAGGAAGGTGCTGTGGATCATCGGAACAGGGAAGCAGCCGAGTCTTTTCCACTCTCTGATTGGCTGGTAGTCTGGGGTTCGCATGTAGTAWCCCTGGCGGGGAAAGGAATTTTAGGAAACCAGGATTAATCACAAACTCTGAATAGACAGACCGATGAATGGATTTCAGCCCAAACTGCACCTGGGGGGTGATGCCACACCAAAAGTTCGAGTAGAGAGAGCGAGACTCCAACATGGGAGCCACCAGGGTCAGGTTCTCAGCCATCAGCAGGTTCAGCACTCGAGGGTTGGTCAGCAGGTTGTCACTATCAACAAACTGAAACAGAGCAGGATCTCAGGAATACAGCTTACTTTTTAAGGAAATGCAAACGCAAAAATGAGAAGATCTGATGGGTTTTCATGATTAGATTTAGGGGTTTGAATGATTCACTAATCAAGTTCTAATCTAAGGATCCATTCACCTGCTCATGGAGATCAGTTATACATGAAAAAATTAATAAATGAACACTTACACCATGATGAAAAACTCAAATCCCTTCAGTACCTTTCTTTTTCAACAGTTGTCTGTCCACTGGTCTTTATAAACATGCATGCAGCACCAGGATTATGCCACAGGTTGAGTCAAATGTCTCAGAAACACATTTTAATTTCAGGAACAAAAGGGAAAAGGAAATATCTGGACTGCGTAGAGTGTGGCCTCTGTGGGCCTCRGTSTAGATAGGCTGCAGCATCTGAATTGAGACACAACAATAGCTTAAAAGATATGCCACCTGACCCATTACCTGCTGGAGTATTCAGATATTTCATTTTCAGTTTTCTTTCTGAAATAATAGGGTTTCCTGGGTCTTTTGACTTATTGTTTATAACATTCACCTCCTTATCCTGATGACTTCCTCATGCTAATATCCCTTGTTCTATTAGTTYAATTGTTTAAAACAGACTGTTTATCAACTGTTAGGCCCAAATGACAAACCCTGTAATGTATTGTTGTACATTAATGTATTTGTTGGTACCAGGATATAGTCGGCCCATCTTTCGCGTGCAGCCTTCAGAGCCGCCTGTCTCAGCTTCATAACGTGCTTAAACCTAGAAGGAGGCCAGTGTTTCGGGCCCCATTCATCTGTGTAGGACCTAATGCAAAAATCGAAGAGTCACTTAAAGTATTTAGACTTCAGCAAAGTTTTATGGATCAAATTACATAAGAAAAAAATAATACAAGAACAGACTGAGTTGATTATTCATAACTAACCTCGGCTCCTCCATCGGTCTCCACTCCACGGAGTGATAGACTTGCTGGGCTTTCTTCAACCATTCTCTCAACATGGCAGTGGTGTTGTCCACATTATGGTCTGTCGCTGCCCTGTAATACCGTCAAGGACAACATGGACAGTCACTGACAGCTTAAAGAAGAACATGCTAACGTCACGTCTAGCTACAGCTACAGACTGGTGCTACAGAAGGCAAGCCTCAGTGTTGCAAAGTCTCTTTGCTGTTAAAGTTGTTGCAGTGCTGGAGTGTGGACAAATTCAGAAGAACCACAGAGCAAACAGAAGAGTTAAAAATAATGAGACAGGTGCAGGCACGCTCCAACCCCTCTCTACTGAACGGCTGCTACTTTTGTTTGTGGACAAAATAAATAAATAAATAAATATCGGAAAAGTTGGCAAAAATAATCCCGCAGGTATTCGAAATTTTACAATTTGAATGCGAACTGATGCATCAACCAAGCAAAACAAATAAGGCCCCCGTTTACACATTCAGACACTTGTATGGAAATAAGTCAGGATGGGTGCAGATGCTGTGGTTTTCACTGTGTTCCTGCAGAGATTTCCACCTCAGCTCGACTCAAAAGGACACTGTGACCGCTCTGTGTGAGTAAACGTGGTAATGATCAAAATGTGCAGGAGGAATAAAAACCTGAAACAAACCACTGTACTGCCCGTCGTGAGGCCACTGTTTTTCAGGCATCACAGAAATAAACATCACTTGTCCCTTTCACTCGTCAGACAGTCATACAAAGACAAATGTCAGCAGTACGTCAGGCAGAAAAGCCTGATCTGGAGKGTGTGCATGCAAACACAAACACACAGACTCGGTGCTTTGGATTTTTCCACTGCCTGCTGTAATATTCTTTGCTGCACTGTCTCCAAAATCCCAGCCACTTTTTGATGTGATGAACAAAGACAAATGCACAGAGGATATGCACACAAAGTCTTACAAGCAAGAAAGAATAGCTCAGTGTGGAAAGCAGAAAGGCTCCGATACTTTTGAAATTAAAGCTAAAAAGTCTTGTTCCACAATAGCGAGCTGGGGAGCTGAAACCACACGTGTCACAAGCCCTTTAAAGACCCTAAAGGTCACCTGTATTTTTCCTCTCTTTCTCACGAATGGTTCTTCTACTCACTTCATTCAGTGTGCGCTCCTTCCCTTTTTTCTTGCTTTAGGCAAAAAAAAAAAAAAACAGCTGCTGCAGCTGAACCAAACTTATCTGTGAAAAATCAAGAATCTGCAGCTTCTTTCAAATTCAATTCAATTCTGTTATTTTATAAACGGCACCGATTCTTAACAAGTCATCTTAGAGCACTGTACAAAACAAAACTTTCACATAAATTAGAAAATGCTGATTAGTAAAAGTTATTTAAGGGAGCCAACRATTTTTGTCAAATCTTCACTTCAGGGTCAAGACGGTCAGCCATCTATTTGCCTCGACCAACTGAGAGGAAAGATACAAACACAGAATCCTGGTCCAGGAGTAAATCCACTGGAGTATTTAGTTAAGCTTTTATTAGAAAATAAAATCAAAGTCAGTGTGCATCTTCATACAAAGCAGAGATAGATATGATGATAMAGCTTTGTGCATGACAGAAATGTAAAATAATATTTGTTCAGCCTAAAAATAACAGATAAAAGCCAAGGTTCCCTCTTCTCTTCCTTCCATACCTGTTTCACCTTTTGTCTTGCCTCATGCTGTTTCATTACTTCACTTGTTTGAAGTTTACAGTAAGCAGCAGACTCATTATTTTGTTGCCTGCAGCTCTGGGAATGGACTTCCTCTCTCCTCTAAATTTATGGGAAGCATCTGTCCAACATATGTGTCTTGAGTCCTCACCTACACACCCACCGCTACTTCTCACTGCACTTCAGAGATATTCTTCCCTTGTTACCTTATCTCACATCTCACACAATCATCTAAGCATTTTTAATCACATTTAGGTAAGAAATAAGTTGTGTTTTGATTACTGGTTTATAACCATGTACCTTCAAATAACACAAATATGTACAAAGATTTKCAGCTGGTTTGACATTAGAGTTTAGATTTATAACCAGAGCCAGGGCCAAAATTACATGCCTGATGGTTCAGTCGGGCTTGGGTGATATTCTTATAATGAGTATTCTTTTAATAAGCCTGCAATAGCATAGAGAAAACTAAACGAGAACGCACGAACTAAAGTTGTGTTAATCTGTTTATTAATCTAAAGAGAGGAGTAGGTAGTTTACTCTGTTGAGGACAGAAAGTAAGGTGTAGAAGTGAAGCGCAGCACACTGAACATTGACTCCGCTCCTGTTTGATTTGCTTAAAAGTCAGAAATGTTGGTCTAAAAATGAAAGCACTAAAAGTTTACTGTATTTTTTTGTATAATGCAAAAATATGTAACCGCAAAAATCATCCAGAAAGTTGGGGAGTCATAGCTATTATACATGAGAGTAAGTGTTGAACTTTTTCTAACATACTCCCACAATAAACATTGATTTTCTCAAATATAACTAAAATATTGTGTCACGGTGGATAAATTGTCATAATTTCCTCAGCGTATCAAAAATAACATCAGGTGTCTTTTTTACACTGGAGTCGGAGGAGGAAAACCCCACCATTTATTTTATTTTTATTTATTTTACTTTTTTTATTTTGTTTTYTTGGTAATGCGGAGATGAAAAGACATGGTCATCAGTTGCACATTCGTGTGCTCAATGGGAGCAGATTCGTAGCTCTTAGAAGCTGCTCATTCTTACTAATTTAACAACGGGCTCCTGTTGTCAGATCAAACCAAAATGTTTTTAACGACATGAAGCTCACACTGCTCCTCCTCTGCAGTCTTTGCTCCACTGCCAAAAATCACACCCACAGGTGTGGGCCAACGCAAGGGCTGAAAAACTCTCAAGTCTGAACAAAATTATGGACAGCATTATGTATGGGATTAGATTTTTTTTTTAAGCTTTCTACGCTCAAAAAAATGTAGACTGCAATAAACACGCATAAATATGGTCATTAAAATATGTCACAGTTCAAGCCTCCAATTACAGTTGGATTGGATCMGGCTCGGACACAATGTCTATGGGCTTTGGGCCTGGTCATGTCATATTTTTTATGCCCGATCTAAACTTTATTTGACATCACCTGCTTCATATTGTTTCTTTCTTGTTTAGCTAAGGTGTCTAGAGGTGCAACGTGAGGTTTGGCACCAAGGTGTTGGCAATAGATCTCTGGCATCCTACATAGGCTGAAGATAAAGACCTGGCTTGTTCAGACTTCACAGATGCTCTGGTGGAAACAGCAGAGTTTACGTACCTTCCTCTCTGTGCTCTGTCCACCCAAAGAATGTAACAGGCATGGCACGAAGGTGACCAGTGTATTTTCATTACATTGACTGTGGTGGAATATGTAACACAAGGTTGGGATTTGACTGCAGCGCAGAAACCTACAGGGAAATTTAGAAATACACTGGACCTATTATATACTTTCACCTGAGTATTAGTATTTCTTCATTCCTCTCCCTCTGGTAATTATCCTCTATAGAAAATGGTGACAGATAGTCTGACCTGACCTTAAACACAAGGGACTTGTCTCTGAAACTGGTCCTTTTGGGTAAACACTGTTCTGACAGAAGCCAGCAGGCCAGTGTCAGCTGACTGTTGATTCAATAAACATCTAATATTATTGCCCAGAATGACTGTGAGTTGCATGCAATTAAGGAGCAAGAATACCTCTTTGAGAGCCGACCACTGATGCCTTTAACACTTAATAACTACGCCTGTGTTTGGGTGTCTCTTGAGTCCCGTGTCTCTTGTTTCTTGGCTGACGTGGCTGAGGAGGTGGGGGCTGAAGGGGCAAGAGATGAAGAGGGTGAAAAGGAGAAAACTTGAAGGGAGGAGGCGTTTGAGTCGACAAAACCTCCTGATTGAAATTCCTCACAGCTCTGAGGGTCAACAGAAGTTTCAGAAGCCAACAGAGTTGCACGGAAGTGTGATGTTCAACGTTCATATTCAAGAGTAGAAACAAATGGGGRAAAAAAAGCCCAGACGTGACTGGTCTTTTATGTTGAAGTTAAAAAGCCATTCACCATTCAGACCTCTATTTTTTACAGTTTGCTGAAAATTTTCCTTGATTTGAGGTCATTCTTTTGGTGAAATACAAATGAGAAATATGGGAAAAGATTTTTTATGTCTTTATTCTCTCTAAATTTTATTTTCTGTGACCATTCRGTGGAAGTTCAGTAACAGAAGGGATAACAGATAAACAGAGATTGGCTGCTGTAGCTCAGTGGTCAATGATGCGGTCTTACAAACCCGAGGCTGTAGGCCATCCAGTGTAAAACAATTGCCAAAATGTTAATGCAAGTTTGCTAACTGTGGGGACAAAAGAAGAGCAACTACTAACAAAAGAGATATGAGAGAGCAAGTAAAATGGAATGAAGAAARATAGAGGCATAGAAATTTGAGAAATAATTAGAGAATGAGAAATAAAAGGATCTGAAGGACTTTGTGTTAGGCAGTTAAATTGATGAGGAAAACAGATTAAAGGTGATCCAATTAATGCTTATAGTACATGGTCTGATCATAAAGGCAACAGGTCCAGAGGAGAAACATAAACATCCCTCTCTCAAGCAACACACTCCAGCTTCACCTGGGGGACCCCAAGGTGTTCAATTCAGTTCAATTCAATTCAAAAATACTTTATTGTTCCCAGAGGTAAATTAGGTACCCACTGTTCCCATACCACAGACGGCCCCTCCAGTGAGTTCTGGTTCTGCCTAGGGGTCTCTTCCCAATGAGACAAACCTGAAAGGGAGGTGTCCAGGAGGCATCCTTATCAGATAAACCAYCTCAACTAATTAATTTATATGTGAAGGAGCAGCAGCTCTACTTTGAGCTCCCCCGAAATGACAGAGCTCCTCAACTTATCTCTGAGACTGAGCACAGCTACCCTGTGATGAAAGCTCATTTTGGCTGTTTGTATCCAGGATCCCTTGCTTTTTGTCATGATACACACCTCATGACCATAGGTGAGGGTTGGAACATAGACAGGCCAGTAAATCGAGAGCTTTGCCATTTTACCCAATGCTTTCTTCACCACTACTGACT